AGCCCCTCCATTTATCTAAGACTTTGATCAGAATTCCCTTACTTTGATTTCAGACATTGATGTGTGTTCTAAAAACGCCCATAACTGCACTGATAGAAATGTAATTTGCCAAAATACCGAGGGCTCTTTTAAGTGCATTTGTAAACCTGGCTTCAGTCGGAAAAAGCAGGAGTGCACAGGTAACGATATATGTTCATAACATGATGTTTTGCTATACCAATATGTCAAACCTTAAAACTGTCTACAACAAAGACAGTAGAGACAGCCACCTGGTATTTTTTCAGAATATTAATAGAGACCTCAAATTCTTGATATTTGTGGTAGAAACACGGCAATGTCCTTTTAATAAGCCATGAGAAATATATAAAGAGGATAAGTTTCTAAAGAAAGTGTGGTGCTGCGTCGGTGGTGGTAACAAGGTAATTTGGGTTGTGTGTGTGTTTATATGCAGAGAGTGGAGCTACGCTATTGGTGGGAACATGTTGACGAGGAAAACAAGAATAAACTGGTAGAATGAAAAGCAAATGGAATTCTTGACATTCTTCCATTCCCTTTTCCCAGTTTCTTAGACTTCGTCGCTCATGTAGTGATGAATCTGATTTTTTTGAAAAATGAGAGGCAATGTGTCAGTTTGAAAAATGTGATTATCCTGCCTGTCGTTCAAGTAGGCCACTACCGCTCCCAACTTATTGCTCGACAGTCAGCACTACAAACGTCACGGAAGGTAAATACCGAGCGCATTCCACTTACTTTTACATTCCACCCTCAAAAACACGCAGTTAAATCGATTACTCGTAAAAGGAAAAACCTAAAAATTACTTGTGTTGGCACTCATCAGTATGATTCAGTAAGTGGCTCGAAGCAACGGATAGTAATGGTGCTTCTGTGCTTATCCTCATCTTTGATTATCGAAATGCCTTTGACCTCATAGACCACAAGATTTTGGTCAACAAACTGAAGTAGGTCAATATTCCTAATAGTGTGATCAACTGGGTTAATGACTTCCTTTCAAGAAGATCTCAAAGAGTCAAACTTGGAAAGGACTGCCTTTCAGAGTGGGGCACAGTGCCGTCTGGAGTACCACAGGGGACAAAGTTGGGTCCCTGGCTTTTTCTTTTGATGATTAATGACTTGAATGTTCCAAGTATCTTTAACATGTGGAAATATATTGATGATACTACGGCATCAGAGAGCATACCTAAAGGCCAACAGAGTAAATCACAAGAAGCAGTAGAAGCAATCTACGACTGGTCCAGGGAAAATTTGTTCCAGCTTAATGGCGAGAAAACTAAAGAATTAGTTATATTCTTCAGTCGTGATCCCCGCAACTCCCTAGGGTTTGCGTAGACGGATCTCCTATCCAAACCATACAGAGCACAAAGTTACTCGGTTTGACAATCAATGATACGTTAACGTGGAACGACCATATAGGAGAACTTGTTAGGAAAGCGTCTTACTTCAGATCTTGTAACACATTTATTGCGCATGTATTAGGTCTCCACTAGATTATGCTTGTCCTTATTTCCATTACAGTTTACCAAAGTATCTTCAAGTCGAGCTTGAAAGTGTGCAAAGGAGGGCCCTCTCATGCATTTTTCCCAGGGTGCACTACTCGCACGCCCTTCAGTTAGCAGGGCTCGAGTCCATCAGGGCCCACCAGGAAATTTTAAGAGAACATCTGTTTAAGCCTATTTTTAATGATCCACTTAGTAAGATTACCAGCCTCCTGCCTCCCTCCCTCAGTTTCTATTTCATATGAGCTGAGAAGGCAGAGGAGGTTTGCCACGCCTCTTGTAAAGACAAATAGTTAACAACTATTCACCGAAGTGGAGGTGGTTAGTGGTAGATATTTACCGAGCTGCGAAGCGGCGAGGTAAATATCCACAGCTAACCATTGACACTGAGGTGAATAGTTGTTTTAGTATATACTAAAACTGTGAGGTAATATACACCACCAAAATTGATTTGAGTGATTTCTTCGCTTGTCATGGATGCAAACCGGGACGCCATTTTTTCCCGAGTTGCTCGGAGGTAAATAGCAAAGGATATTCGGAGTTTGACTAGCCAATCAGAGCACGCCTTTAACGCTATCCACTGTTTTAGTATATACTAAATTTGGATATTCATTCATTGTTAAGATAGTCGTCTTTGTAATTTTATTATAGTAGTTATAGATCATTTCTTATTTCTTACTTGTAAAGAGACGCAATTCAGTTTTTTAACTGCAATGTTTTTCTTAATAAATACAGTCTACTCTACAGTCTACTCTACTTCGAAACGATCCAGAGACTGGCACTATCTTTTCGCAACCTCCACTTGTTTTATTCAAACGCGACAAAAACATCGGTAACTTTTTGTCAGAAGCTCACTTCAAACTAATGACCAACCCGGAACTTTCAAACGCGCTCACACACGATGCAAAACTTGTCCTTTCATTCACAACGCTGAGAAAATATCGGGACTCAAACGATCCATTAAGACTACTAATCACTTCGTGTGTACCTCCGCCAATGTCAAATATTGCATAACTTCCACTTCATGCGAAAAGATATACATTGGGGAAACACGGAAACTACGTAGGTGACCGATTCCGAGAAGAATTTCGCGACGTAGAAAGGAATGACAAGGACGCATCAAAACCTGTCACAAGACACTTTAATCTATAACTACCCCTCATTCTAAGCAACATATGGCAGTCTGCAGCCTTTCCCGTTTAGGTTGTTCGGAGGCTGCAAGACTCTTGACAATAGTTTCTCTTTTAATTAGCGTAGATTCACTTTTTGTATAGACACACACATAGCCCTGACGAAGGGGGAACGGTCGAAACGTCAGCTTTGAAACCCTTTACGGTGGCCAATATACGTTATCAGCGCAGTTGATAAAACCAAATTACCACGAGAAATGTACATCATATCTACAGTTGGAACTGCGCTAAAAGCTGAGCAATTTTCAATATACGGAGACGCACCCCCCACCAGCTCCATTAATAATAACAATCATAGGTATGGTCCGCAGACATTGGGGAGTGCTCTAGATGCAGCCACAACTGCACAAATGAGTCTGCCACTGGTAAAAATACCTGGATTTGATGGGGATAGACACAATTGCTCGGATCTTCGTCTTTATTTAAATCGTGATCCTTTATTGTATTGGCGGGTGAAAACTTGCAAGTCTGCCTGAAGAAAAAAAAAGAAATTTTCATGATCACTTGATATCATTCAGACTATGATGTTCAAATGTTTGTTGATTTCCCCCTTTTACTCGTGCAGCCACGGCTTTGGTTGTCGTCATTATAAATGTGGTCTATTGGTTTCATTTCAGACATCGATGAATGTGCTCTAAAGACCCACAGCTGCAGCAAGGACAATGCTATTTGTTCAAACACCGTGGGATCGTTTAATTGCTCTTGTAATCCTGGATTCACTGGAGATGGATACAAATGCACGGGTAGACTCCTTCGAAGATTATTTTCATATCAAAGTTGTCGCGTTTACAAATATGGTCTATTCATTTCATTTCAGACATCGATGAATGTGCCTTAAGGACCCACAACTGTAACAAGGACAATGCCACATGTGCAAACACCGTGGGATCGTTTAAATGCTCTTGCAATTCTGGATTCACTGGAGATGGACACAAATGCAAGGGTAAAACCCCCCTAGACTATTTTCATATCAAAGTCCTGCTATTAAAAGGCTCCGTTAAGTTCCGGTGAGCAAGTCCCACCAACGTCTGACTCAAGAACACCCAAGATTGAGGAAAAAATGTTTTGATTTCCCTAAACCTATTGAGAGCTACCAAAGCTATCACAGAATCATAAAGTGAAATGCTAGGCTGATTTTAAAAGTATTTTCATTCATCGCTGCTTGAGCAGTTAACGGGTCCTATTCAATTTCGCGAATTAGGTAATGTAGACATTCAAAGGTAAGAACCCCTTTAAAACAACAAAAAAATCCAAAACTCTCTTTACTTGGAACTCGTTCAAAGTCAAAACCAAATTCAGAAAGAGTTAAAAACTTAATATAAGCAAGTTTCATATTTTCACGTGACTTTGAAATAGAAGTTCGACACATCGCTCAACACAACTACGGGAACATACATGATAACTTTCCCAGAACAACGCGTTGTAAATGTACATATCATCTATCGACAGACACTGACGAATGTAATGCCTCCGTCTATGCTTGTGATGAGAACGCCGACTGCGAAAACATTATGGGATCGTATCGTTGTTTTTGCAAAACCGGTTTTTCTGGAGATGGTCATACTTGCACAGGTAAAAAGAGGTTTAATAGTGAAGTTACGTATTTCATAGCGGAATGTTGCTTACTTTCGTCAAGCAAGGCCATTTATCATTCATTAGATCTAAGTCTGTAATAATTCCAGAACGCCGGAGACTTATTGTTCTTCCTATGTTTCATGTATATATCAACCTGCCATTCTATATCAAAAGATATTGATGAATGTGTCAGCGGTGAACACGACTGCAATGTTTCAGCCACATGTGTTAACACTGAAGGATCTTTCATCTGTTCCTGTAACCAGCTGTACGTAGGGGATGGAAGATCTTGCGTGACTCTCCCATCAGGTAGGCATGCCTCCCGGTTAGCTCAATGGATAGAGCGCTGGAATGATGTGCGGGAGGTCGAGGGTTCAAGCCCCGGCCGGACCAACACTCAAGGTCTTAAAATAATTGAGAAGAATATGCTACCTTTCTATAACGTCAAGAAATGGTTAGATATTCTAGTCTTCTCTGATAGGGACGAATAAATGGAAGTCCCGTCTCCTGCAGGGTCAGGGGTAGGAGATGTTAGTTTCCCACGCAAGAGATTACTGTGTGATGGATGTCCTCCCCTGGGGTGGGATGGGTGGGATTTATTGGGTGGACTACTCGCATGGTTTGCATATGTTCCGTTCTACTCCTACCCTACTGCGGTAATGCAGGGAAAATGGTTAGAAAATAAAAATGCCAATCAAGTCTTAATATTTTACTTTATCATGTAAGTACTGAGGTTTACTCAGTGTAAACTCACCCAATTAAAATATTATCGCTTTGATGAAAGCAATCCCACTGGTGATTTTTTCCACTAGTAAAATATATAGTATGACCAATCAGAAGCCTGATACGATATTTTCACAAGTGAGAGAAATCGTATCGGTTTTTCCCGCCTTTCAGGGCGGCCATGCGAAGTAATGCAGAGTGGAAATTTGCAACGTTTCCTGCTTGAATTATCGCTTCATGTTTTGCAGATATTAATTAAGAGGAAAAATTTATCGAGGACCAAGAAAACGAAAATACACGAAAGAAAACTCAACAGAATGTTGCTTTACTTAAGGAATTTCTGACGCTGAGGAACGAGTAAAGACTTACAGAAGAAATTCCCCCGAAGGAGCTGAATGCATACATCAGTTCGAAAGAAAAACAGCAACGAAGGCCATGAACTCAGCTCCTTACGTTCTTTGATGGCCAATTTTGAATGGTATTTTAAAAAGAAGAATTACGGATTCGGCATTATAAAAAAACGCTGAGTTTGAACAGGCACGCATAGCTTTACAATCAAAACAAAAGGATCTCAAACAAAAAGGAAAAGGAGAAAATCATAACGCTTCAGTTGCTATTACAGAAGAGGAGATAAAACTACTGTGTGACAAAGAATTGTTAGGAGCCATCACCAGAAATCGGGGACATTTCGAGCCCGTTAAGAAGTGTCAGCGGTTTATCGTATTACAGACAATTCAATATGGCGGCGGTGGAAGTGAAGTGAACACGTCATTTTCTATTTTCGTAAAACCCCACGTGAGAAAGGCCTGGTACCTTACTATCCTAGAAAGCCAAAGGAGACTTCAAAACAAGGAGAATAGCGGCCAAATTCGTGTTCTTCCTTCCTAAAATTGGGGTATTTAAAAATGGCGTTCAGCAGCCTTCAATCAAACACCGGCCTTGGCCACTCCAGAAACTAAGATAAAGTCTACAAAGAGTTCAAAAAGACTAAAACTACTCGACTCTGATTCAGAGTGGAAATCGCTTTGCCAGTTTGAAAGCTTATGCGAGCTAATATTTTCAGAAGCCCTTCAATTGTCCAACGTAAGCCCAAATTTCTTTGAATGGGGTTTGTAATTTTTTTTTTTCTTGAAATTAAATATTTTAAAAGTACAGTCCTTTGGCCTTTTTAAGCATATTCGAATGCAGTATTTTAGGCGTCTTGACAGTATTGATTGGGTTCGAATAAAAGCGATATCGAGTTCGCGACTTCGTTGTCTTTTGCGGTCAGTTGACTGTGATTTAAAGCTACAAACATTTGTTTTACTTTAGTACTTATGTGATAATCAAATTACTCCATGATTAGTTCGCTTGTACGATTTTTATTCACCTGTTGTGAAGAATCACAAACTCACCCGCTCGAAGACTCACTCGGCGTTCGATTGCGATTTCACACAACACGCGTGTAAAAATCGAACGAGCCCACCAATCATGAAGTAATCTTTATTTATTATATTTTGCATTTTTGTTTTCCTGGTTACGGCCTTTAAGATTATTACACCATGAAATAACTTATGGAAGTTATACATGCGATGACAGGTTGTCAAGCGAGTTTTGAGGAAATGTGCTGAATTTCATCGCGAGACTTTTGGTTTGTTTGTTTGTTTTATCAGTTACCTAAATCATTATGTCCTCTTCCTTTCCTAGAATGTCAAAATTATGAAGGTCTGATGGGGATAAGCAGAAGGATAACCTATGTTAATCGAAACAAGCTTTGTGACAGCAGACTTCATGGTTGGTATCGTTTTGAAGGAGCAGCAGGTACAACAATGCCTACTTCATGTCCGCCTAAACACCGATGTAACACTCACGCACCTGGCTGGCTAAATGGTGCGCATCCCACAGAGATTGATGGTCGGGTCACCAGAACGGTTTGCTTCCACTGGAAATCAAACTGCTGCTACTTTTCAAGTTCAATTAAAGTAAGAAACTGCGGCGGTTACTATGTTTACTACATAAATGGCACACCCCAATGTTTCCTCCGCTATTGCGGCACAGACTAAATGGATGCTGGTTCAGAATTCAGTCTTTCCATTAAAAATGATTACACTATACCGTCATTTGTAAGCGAGTTATGATCGGTCATAATGTTATGGATAGTAGAAAAGTATCTCTTTCTGGTAATTTCTAGAATGCCTACAATCAGCGTCCAAATTAGTTGATACATCATATTTGAAGAGTTCTTTTTATGTAAAGAAGAACAGTCCTGTTCCTACCACACTCTAAGTCGTCAATGGACCTCCCACCGGCCAATCAATTTTGGCTGAAAGTTCATGGAATCACGATACAACATTGTGTTTTTGGGAGTAGGGGTCGAAATGGTTAACTAAGCGAGGGCAAAGAGGATAACACTGAAGTGATTGGGGGTTGAAAAGATCATTGTGTCAACAACTTTGTAGTCCATTGTAGTCACGGTGACAGGGATATTTTAACTTTGTGATGTTGTACCGTGGAAATTTCTAGAACGTTCAATTAGGTGATGTAATTATGCCGTAGTTCTAGAATACGTTGTTAATATATGTAAGGAAGAACTCGGTCATCTAGGAGTACAATGTAATAGTAAAAATGTGTCAAAGGGATGGCTTTCTGGGTCTTTCAGGAATAATGTCATATAGGCAGGGCAGATACCAGACGAATATTCTAAAGATAACGTTTTTACAGAATATCATCAGCAAGTTTTGTAACAGAGCAAGGTTGTAGAGTGACATAAAATGCTTTGAAGGGTGAGGTCTTAAATTATTAGAAACTGGCGTTTTGGTATATACATAACACCTGGCCGGGCATAATGTTATCATGGTGTACTTTATCATGATAATGGGAGTTTCGTCTGAACCACCAAAAATAAAGTCAACTATATGATGCCAGCTCAACTAAAGTGAGCATTCACTTCAGAATGAAGGTATTTGAAACTCAAGTTTACAAAGTGGCTATTATATGAATGACAAGACTGTTTAATGTTTTTTGTAAAACGACTTTCAAAATGTGCATTGAGAATTGTATTTCAAAGATCAGTATGCAAAATTCAGGACTTCAGGATGACACGTAGAACATTTTTTTTCTCTTTTAACGATTTAACAAGAGACCCAACGCGGGGTAGCTTTGACGCGTTTAATTTTTCCGATTTTTGATGACTGACGGTTAACATTCACACATTAGCTAGTCCAAAACCTACCTGCTTACTTGCAGTCACTACATTTCTGACGTAGTGATTTCATTGATCTGATCTGATTCATTATGGTGGGTAGATAAAGTTATTAAATGGTGCGTAAAGTAAACATTCGATGATGGTACAAGTCCATGTTTTGTTACAGTCAAGAATAAACTCAATAGTTTTCTTCTAATGTTGCGGCAAGGGCGTTGAGGTAAATTCATAAATCAAATTTTGCCGAGGCTTTAATTTGCCGTTCAGATCTTGTAGCGGAAAGTCAATTCATAAAAAAATCCATTAACTCTTTATCTTCATTTTCCATGAATCCACTTTCCGAGTCAGCTCTCCGGCGTGCTCATCAACCTGTGTTGGTTCAAGTCCAACGCTGGTTTGGAATTGTGTTATACTTGTGTCGCTGACAAAAGTTATAGTCGGACAAAAAAAATTTCTTTTAGCCATGGAATTAAGAATTTCATCGTCTCCCTCAAAGTCGTCATGGAAAAAGAATCTTTCCACATATTGTTAAAGGTTTGGGCTGTGCATAAAAACGCAGGGGGAGTGCTTTGCCCTTCGTGATCTCTGCTCTGATAGTTTGCTGTCTCATTTGTCTGCAGCTCTCTATCAACTCTTTCATGACAACTTCCGTTTCGTTGGAAATTGTGTCAGAAGGCAAATATTTCCTAAAATGGACAGATTGGAAATGCATAATAGACAGGGGCACTGAGTATTAGGTCTAGGGTGGTTATAGCACTTGGCCGCCCACTCTGTGATCCGCCTAAGAAACTTCTTCGAGATGCTGCCAAAACATGGCTAGAAATCGAGGACAGACGTCGAACGTAATCGTGGGCTCATATTTGCGGAATTTGAATAACTAATGAGGTTGCACACATAGCGGCTGAAATTGCGTTTTATCGTGAGGTAAGTAATTTAGGCATCGCCGATTTTTTTCTTTTGAGAAAAGAAAGCAAAAAAATCTTCAGGAAAGGGACAATCTGGTGACGTGGAGAAAGAGAAACCGCAAACGGGAGGAAAGTTAATTTGCATAGCAGCAATTTTCACACTTTTTTCTGGTAAAAAAGCGGTATTGATATTTTTAAATAGCTTGGTTACAAAGCTAGCGATAGTGGCGGAATTGTTGTCTTAGAGCTAGAAGCGAAGGCTTCAGCCCGTTTACAACTACAATTTAACGAGTCGACGTCCAATTTTCACAATTCTGTGTAATCAGAGTTATCCACATTTCAAAATCTGTTTGGAAGAACGAGGGATGCTTTATTTGCTTTAAAACAGCTCTTGAATGGACGATCAGTCTTCGCAGAGGATTATACGTAGGATGTGCGGTGTCGCAGTGATATGTGTATCCCCGCACACATATCACTAGTGATATGTGTACCCTTTCCAATATGGCGGCCAGTGATATATGTATCCCCCAACCTCCTCCCCTCCAAAAAATAAATAATTACTTTTTTTTTTTTCAAATATAGACTAGTGAGCAGCACTTCTGCGAACAGTAGTTTGTAAAAATGTCTTTGTTTTCCGACACATTTCGTCTAACTGTCGTAGACTTCTTCAGGGAGTTTTGCAAGTATAACTAAACGCCTGTATTTATAAACCAAAGTAACGGGGACCGATGACCGTTGAGGTTTGGCCGGACTTACGAACAGGAACAGGCGAACAGGAACAGGCCAAGTTGTGAAAAATTTACAACGTGTAAGGCCAAGCCTCTACGGTCATCGGCCCCTGTAACTTTGGCTTATAAATACAGGTGTTTAGTTACACTTGTAAAACTCCCTGAAGAAGTCTACGACAGTTAGACGAAACGCGTCGGAAAATAAAAACAGTTTTACAACTACTGCTCGCAGAAGTGCTGCTCACCAGTCTATATTAAAAAAATTGTTAAAGAATAATTTAAAAAATTGTCCATAAATGCTTATTTCCAGCGGGTACTCCCCCTTCTTGGAGTTTGTTGATATTTTTTTGCATTGACTGATAGGTTACACTTTTACAACACATGCAGTTTTAGAGTTTGCCTTTGATTTACAGGTGTTTTGTTATGCTCACAAATTAATAAGTATTATTGTGCTTTGGAACAATGTTCAATTTTTTTGTAGTTTCATTGCTATTTTGCAAGAATGTGTGACATTTATAACGTAGAAAAAAGGTTTGCTCTGAAATTTTTATTTTGGATAGTACATATACATCTGAGGAAGACTGAAACATAATCATTGCAAGCAGATATTGCTTATCATGGAGTGGAAATCGCCTTTAATAGTAGATTAATACTATCAGTTAACAATCGTTTTTGATTTATTTACTTATGTTGATTTATCAATAAAAATACCTGATCTTTCGCATGTAGTTCAAATTGGTTGGCCTGTCGTTTTTGTGAGCACTTATTAGACACAACATACACTGCTCGGAATTAGAAAAACATCCAGGTTGTCCATACTGGCAAATACTGGACAACCCAGACTTCGGTTGTCCTGATAAGGACTTGGTTGTCCAGGGCCGTACAGATTTCAAAACAAAATACAACAACAACAACAACAACAAAAATATATAGAAGCCCCTTTAAAGATGAATTCAAAAGGATTTGATGTATACTGAGTGATTGATGTAAACTACGGAACGTGAACACGAAATAGTTTCCACACCTTCTAGACCTTTAATTTACCAAAAAAACTTATGGCGTAAACACGCTATTTAGTTGTCGGATCGGTTGAAACTTTAAGATATAAACCCACAAAATATGTCCCTCGTAAGTGATAGTGATATGTGTGATATGTGTGCAGGGGTACACATATCACTAGTGATATGTGTGCGGGGATACACATATCACGGGGGTACACCTATCACTGCGACAGCGGAATAAGTCATCGAAGAGCCACGGTGGACGTATACGGAGTGGAAAAGGGTACTCACACGTAAGGTAAAACGCTAATGCCGCCATAATGTGTCCATAGAATGTGTGGTTTGGACAGAACTTTGTTACATTGCTGTTGTTCTATATTTGACGTGAGTAATCTTTGGAGTATTTTCTCATGTTATCGATGTGCGGAACTTGACCTTACACTTTCGTAACCTCATTGTGGAGGAATTTCACAATTCAGCCATAGACAACCTTTACCAAGGAGCTATTTTTAAAGCAGCTTAATTACTACTGGTGTGCATACTTTGCCGCCATGATGTCCTTTATATATTTCTGGCCATGAGTCCATATTGCAGGACGCTTAAAGGTTTCATGTTCAATATGTAGAACGGCGTGGAGGTTTCATTTTATAAGTCGATAGAGCTTGAGCGCATATGAGCCCGGCGAACCCAAATTTGTAAGACTAGTCATTGATCCCTAGGAAATCAATAATGATTGTGTTGCCGAAGACTCCAATGCGTTTCACCAACAGGAAATCTCGAATCGCTTGAAAGCTTTATCTTCTCCTTTACGATAGAAGCTCACAACGGCTTTCTACACACTCGACATGATGTAGACTTGTTTTTTTTTTCTCAGTTGAAGAAGGGGAATACACTGCGTGGCATGGCCATTGGCCAGAATCAATAAGTGGTCAAAGAAGTTAACCCTTTTTAATTATCAGTATAGGTAATCACATGATTTCGAGTGCAATTTGGAATAAATAAGCACGAGTAAATTTTTTCAAAGGATAACAAAATTGCATGAGCCCGTAGGGCGAGTGCGATTTGTGGTCCCTGAAAAAATTTACAAGTGTTTACTCATTCCAAATTGCACGAGAAAATCGCGTGATTATGTATTAATAATATACTTGAAAAAATACGAGGTAGTTTCTCCTAACTACGCAGAAGAAAACCGCGCGCATCAGGTGCAAAAATAATTTATTCAAACCCTGCAAGTGACATTGACCTTGACATTGACACTGACCAATCATTCTGACCAATCAGAATGTCTGGTTTGTTTCTTTCTTTGCACTGAATTAACCCTTTTCTGCACTAAATTAACTATCTTCTGCACTGAATTAACTGAAAACTGTTACTGTTTAAAAAGTAGACTTTTTTCTATTGAAAGATTTCGCGCCGACAATTCTGCTGTGTCCTGCTACACTTCGTTTCCCAGCAACGGTGTTTTAATGGAAATTTGCAATTATCTAGACCCCAGAACGTGTTATATGATTGTTTAATTCCGCTCTGGTAAACAGAGGCATCTTCTGAAGTGAGTAGCTCCACATACTAGATTCAGGGAACTTGACGGGAACATGTCGTTTAGCGGTGGAGTGTGAACTTGTGTTGTTTGCCGAGCGTAGTTGTTTTCGTTTAGAATAAAGATTATTGGGATCAGGATCAATGATGTTTTTATCCTTTCCGCTCTTGATGTATTAAAGGACCCTAAAGTATAAGAAATTAGGTCAATTTAAGTGTAAGTAATCACAATTGACAATTTTCTCAAGCAATCAAAACACCTCGAAGTACGCATCTTGTGCTCGAAACTAGCCTTTTCAC